CAGCAGGACTGCTCAGCTGAGCAAAGTGTCTGTCTGTCTCCATTCCTGGGCTAGAGCAGGCATGCAGGGGCAGCCTAGAGGTGGGAGATGGGAAGAAAATGTGGTGCAATTTAAGTGGTGAGGGTTGCTTGAATTGTGCCTGGCCAAACCTGCCTTGCTGCTTCCCTGTCGTGGACAAGATGAGGTGCAAAGCTGATGCTCAGGGGGAAAAGATGACAGCAGATGTGGCCTGGCACCAGGTTGGAAGTTGCCCAGCTGTGCTTGTCAACAGCTGCTTGTGCTTTCCTGCTAGTGTCCCCCATGGGCATGGAAAGGTGTGAGGGGAAAATCAGGTTCTTGTGCTGATGGGGCAGAAAGTGGTAAATTGAGCAATGTACTTGTCTGTACATAAGAATAAGGCTTCACTTTCCTCTCACTGCAGCTCATGTTTACTCAGCCCTGTGACTCTGTGCTCTGCATCTCCAGCAGTTTCAGTGATGTCTGCATTTGCATCCACAGTCCACAGAAGCTGCTGAGCTTCAGCACAAGCCCCCAGTCTAACATCACCCTGGCTGAGTTTGCTCTGGTCAGGTACTTTACAGCCCAGTGCTCACTCACCCAAGCAACCAGTGTCATGGGTGGCAGTGGCCTGGCACACTGCTGGTTCTTGTTACCAAATCCCATGAGGATCTTTTGTTTGGGGTTCTAGGGCTGCCCTGCCTCACTTCAGGACCATGGGCTGGCTCTGAGGTTACATGTGGCCCCTCAGCATGATGAGGGTCAGGCTCCCCAGGAGACAACCTGTGTTTATGTAGCTGCAGCCTGGTGCTGCTGCTCACCCTCCTCCCCTTCCTGCATGGGCAGAAATAAACCTTTTCTGTGGTGTGGAGCAGACATGGTAGAAGGACAGAGTTTCTTCCAGCTTTGGTTTCAGTTCTGAGTGGCAAACCAAGCCCCCACCTGCAGCACTGCAACAATCAGCCTTGTCTCCCCTCTTGCTGACTGCACAACTGTCTTCAGGCTTGTTTCTTGTATGGTTTCCTTTGGTGGTTGGTGCTAAGAGGAAAACATTAAGGGCAAGAGGTAACTCATGTAACTTTCTGCTGAGTGTGGGGAAAGGACCAAATAGGAGCTGTAAATGTACAAAGAAAGGAAGCTCTAGGAGAAGAGTCAGCCAGACATGTTGGGGCTTTGCCTAAACACAGAGGGAACCTGCACTGCCAGGAATAAGGATTTTAGGTATGAAAATGTTGTCAAGCCTCTCCTCATATGGGATCTGTGTTCTCTGTTCCAGCTGTGCCAGAAGTGCTGTGGTTTGTTCCATCATGTGTCCCTGGTCCTGCTCGGTGTCCTGCTGCCTTGCTCCAGGAGCTTGGGCTTGTGACAGCACAGCTGGGGTGGCCACCCTGGCCCTGCTGAGGGCAAACACCCACAGCTCTGCACTGATGGGGCCTTTGATCCCTGGTCAGGCACACTGTTCATATGGAACAGGAGGACAAGTGGTTGCTGAGCAGCCAGGGGGGCCAGGCTCTGCACTCCTGCTCACCCAGTGAACCCAGTCTCCAAAGCAGAACCCCTTAAGTCACAGAGACCCACCAGCCTCACCCAAACCAGTATCCAGACAGAGGGCCCTGCTGTGTCTCAGCCTGACAAGCACCAGGGAGGGGGGAACTGCATCCTCCTAGTAACAGGTACTTGAAGAGTCAAACAGGCTTTCTAACTCCTCCTGCCTGACTGTGCTTGTTGCAGGGTGAAAACGTCTTCTTTGTCATGACGAATCTGATTGTGACCCCCAACCAGAGGCAAGACACCTGTCCTGAGGTAGGAAGAACTGAGCCCCTTGGCCCCCAGACCCCTACAAAACCAGGGGTAAGAACTGGCAGAGGACACCTGGGGAGCAACGGCCACAGGAAGGATGGATGGAAGGCAAATGGTGTTTGTCTGTAGTGTAATAGCTGGGAAAACTGGACTGGTTACTGCAGACCTGGGGGGTTCAGCTGCCTCCATTTCCAGAGGCACTGATCCTTGTAGAGTCTTGCTAACTTTAGCTGAAGGTGTTGAACATCTGCCCAGCTGGAGATGAGACCAGGAAAGTGATCTCTCGGGGTCAGAAAAGGCCATGGGAAAACAACTTTGAGGTGACTCAGTCTAGTTATGGGTTTCTTAGAGCCCCATCCTTGGACATTCAGGCTTTTGTTACCTTCAGGACATGGGACGCCTTTCAAACAGCGTCATGTTGGAATCTTCTCTCTGGAGAGGTGGTTCAGAGCAGGCTGGAGCCAGGGGGAGGAGCACACTGGCCATCCAAGGTGTGTTGTCTCCAGGTAGCAGTGATTAACTGACCGTATGACAAGCAGAGGGGCAGCCCAGCCCGGAGCTCTGCAGGTCCAGGGCTCTGCTGTCCTCTGGTGGCTGCAGGAACCCGGAGAGCAGCCGGGAGGGCAGCTGAGCTTGGGGAGCTTGTGGCTTTCATCAGAGGTTCTCTCTTAGGGTGAAGTTCTGTGGCCTCCTGCTGGGTGCTGGTGAGTGATGCCTGGGGTGATGGAGTGATGCCAGGATGTCGTGCTGAGCTGCAGTGTTGCTGCTGCTGTGACACTGAGCTGGTTGCACATCACCTGCAGTCACCTCTTCAGCTCCACCTCCTCAGTGCTCACCATCCTGCAGAGGATTTGCTCCACATCAGCAGCACTTTCTTACCCCTCTGAGCCTCGTGCCCTGGGTCTCACTCCTGTCCCCTTCCACCCTGCAGAGTGCCAGCATTCCTGATGCCCTGTGTTACAAGGATGAGGACTGCCCAGCAGGAGCAGCAGTGGTGGCTGGCAATGGTAAGGGAAAGGTCCCTCCTCCTGAACAGTTTCTGGTAGAGGCAGGTTCCTTCAGAGACATCGGCCTGTGTTGCAACCCCAGAGATCTCTGATGACAGAGAGTGGCAGGGATTTTTCTTTACCATCTTTGATTGAGGTTGTTGCCTTGCTTACAGCCCCGAGGTGGCTGGGCCAGAGCAGCCTGGGCTGCTCAGAGAAGGGAGAAGAGAGAGGCTGTTCCAGTTGAGAGGCCCTTTCCCAGCAGGGAGGAGGGCTTTGGGTGGCAGTGAAAAGCATCTGATTTCTGTGTGCCCTGTGGGCAAGGAGAGGAGGTGGCTGCTCTGTGTGACATTTTCTGTGGTGTCTGTGCTGCAGGGGTTAAGACTGGCCGTTGTCTCAGAGACAAGGACAGCATCAAAGGGACTTGTGAGATACTGGCCTGGTGCCCTGTGGAGAAAAGATCCAAGCCCAAGTACGTGGCCACCCTGTGCCATTTCCAAGCTTGTGTTGTTTGGCTTGTGTGTCATTCAGGGCAGTTTCTGGGTCCCCTCAGCTTGGACACTTGCTTGAATGTTGGCTGTTCCAGTGCAGGGGGGACCTCTGCCTTGTCCCAGGCAGGACTGGCCCTCTGCTCTCCCCTGCTTAGACTCCCAGCTTTCCTAAGGCTGTTTCCAGCTCTAATCCTTCCCCTCAGCTTCTCACCAGCTCCTTGCTGGCAGTGTGGGGCAGGTGGCATGGCTGGCACAGCACGGGGGGTGAAACAGCTGGTTCTAAAAGGGCAATTCTAGGTGAAACTTGTGGGCAGGATATGAACATGAGCAGATACCCACCCATTCTCTTCCAGGAAACCACTTCTTGCCAGTGCAGAGAACTTCACTGTTTACATCAAGAATTCAATCTCCTTCCCCAAGTTTAAGTTCTCCAAGTAAGTGCAGGTGCTCGGAGACCCCTCTGTCCTCTCCAACCCAGAGCCAATAATCTTGGTTTGCTCCTCTGTCCTTCTGCCTGAGGGTGGGGGTGGGTAGGTGGATGTTCCCTCTTCTGAGGAGCAGGGGGAGGCCTTTGGCTTCAGGCTGTGCAGGAAAAAGGAGCTAATGAGGCCTTGGGGCTTCTCAGAGAGTAGCTGGGCTAAGGGCTGTCCTTCACCAGCTGAGGTCTGAGGTGGCTCCTACAGCATGGGACACACCAGAGCTCCTAAGGGCGCTGGATCTGTCTGCCAGCTAGCCAGGTTTCTGAGCTGCTTCTGCTCCCAGATATTCCTCCTCTTCCATAAAAAAAGAAGGGGCCTGGAGAAGGTTGGAAAAAATGCAGATGTCAAATTTTTGTTTGCAAAACAACCTGTTGCAGCTCTGGCTCCAGCAGGAGTGCAGAGAGGAGCAGGTTCTTGCTCTTCTGCCAGGCTCAGGTGAACAGCTCCAGCATTTTCATTCTTTTTTTATCTTAAGAAAAGCAAGAGGCCCTGGAGCAGCCTGGGCACCAGCTCCAGGCAAGCCCTTCCTTGGGCCCAGATTGAGGTGGCCTGGTCCCCTCTGGCCTGGACACCTTTTGTGTGAGCCCCTCTGGGCTGGCAGGGTGAGGAGGCTCCTGGCCAGGAGCCATCCCTGAGGGCACGAGGGGTGTTGGAGAAGTCTCTGTGGGCTGGGAGGCACGGGCTGTGTAGGTGGAAGAGGTGGGCAAAGTGACTTTCCCTCCTCCCCACCTGCAGGGTCAACGTGTTGTCAACTGACAATGAGTCTTACCTGAAGAGCTGCCGCTACAGCAGGGAGCATCCCTACTGCCCCATCTTCCTGCTGGGGAACATTGTCCAGTGGGCTGGGAGCGACTTCCAGGAGATGGCCCTGGAGGTAGGAGTGCCCCACGGGCTCATGCAGCTTCCCAGCTGGCTGGGTGGCCGTGAGGGGAGGCCCTGGCTGGGTCTGCCTCCTGCCCAGCTTCTGCACTTGTGAACCTCATCCCTGCGTAAAAGAGCCTCTTCTCCACTGAGGGATGTTACAGTTAGTTAATTAAATCAGTGTCTGGGGATGAGAAGCCTCCTCAGATACCAGCAGAGGGAAAGCCAGGGTTGTGTGTGGGGTGATGTGACAAGCACCCTAAGCTCAGCCCATCAGAAATGCATGTGCTTGTGTCTGTGACCAGAAATGCAGCTGTTCTTGGGGAAAACTTGCCCAAAAGTCTGGCAAATTTAAAGGCACTTTAATTGAACTGAAAGCAACTCACACTGTCTCTCTCTTTCGTTAAGGGTGGTGTGATAGGAATTCAGATTGAATGGAACTGTGATCTTGATAGAGCCCCTTCTGAATGTAACCCTCACTATTCTTTTAGCCGGCTGGACAACCAGTTTGCAGAAAAGTCCATCTCTTCTGGGTACAACTTCAGGTGAGTGAAGAGGAGAATACAATGCAGTTCCACAGTGGGGCTGAGCTGGTTTGACTGGTAGGTCTTGGAGGTGGCCAGTGAAGTGGTACCAGATCCCACCAAGCACTGCCCCAGCCAAGGACACTGCCCTGCAGGGCAGGGAGTTGTGCTTGTGACGAGCTAGAGCTGGTTTGGTTTGGTAGGGGAGTAGATCTGCCTGAAGAGATACTTGGATTCAGAGGGTTGTTGTGTGGGGAGGGGCAGCTGATGGAGTTACAATCAGCACCGTTGTGTTCCAGGTTTGCCAAGTATTACCAGGATGCTGAGGGGGTCGATTACCGGACGCTCATTAAAGCCTATGGGATCCGCTTTGATGTGATGGTGAACGGGAAGGTGAGACCAGTCAGGAGCTGGGCCTGGGGAGAGACAAGGGGGGAACATCTCGGTGGGAAGGCAGCTCAGGGGTGAGAACAGCCTCTCTGGCTTGTTGTAGGAAAGGGCTCTTGCCAGTCCTGCATGAGAAACAGGATGACCTGGGGTGCAGACAGAAGAGTCTGCATCTCCTCTGCCTAAAACCAGGCTCCTGTGAAGTACAACAGTGCCCCAGAGCCTTGTTTTCCATGCACCTGCACTGCAGGACAGAGGAGCCTGACCCAGTGACACCACCACCTCAGAAATGCAAACGTGGCCCATTGGGGCTGAGACACACACAGACCTTTTGCCTCCAGGATTGTTCACTGCAGGTTTCCCGAGGCTGTTCCTGCTCGTTGCTGACAAACCCCCCATCAGGCACCAGCACTTCCCTTGTGCAAACCACACCCTGCACTGGTTGCTTGGGCTGTTCTTTCACCAACCCCCTCATGACCTTTCTCCTTTCAGGCGGGGAAATTTAACATCATTCCCACCATCATCAACATCGGGTCAGGCCTGGCTCTGATGGGGGCGGTAAGTGGAGCTGTTTCCTTCAGGTAACACGTGGGCACCAGGCCCCTCCTTCAGCTGTTGGGAGGGTAAAATGGGGCAGTTTGATTGTATCTTCTCCGTTAGAGGTTACACGAAGGAAAATACAGCTTGTGCAAGTTATTCTTGGATTAGTGTTAAGTGGATCAGAACCCTTCTACCCTGGAGATAAACCCTGAGTTGTTTCTGCCTGCAGGGAGCTTTCTTTTGTGACCTGGTGCTGCTGTATCTGATCAAAAAGAGCAACTTTTACCGAGGCAAAAAGTACGAGGAAGTAAAGTAAGTGGGGTCAGCTTCTGTGTTTAAGTGTAATGGCTTTATTGTTGTGACTAATAGAAGCAGAAAATGATGCAGGGACACAGTGAACAGTAATGGCAAACGAGAGGCAGTTTCAGGAAATGACATTCCTGCAAATGAGTCCAGCCAAGTTCCTCCCTCCATGGTTCACTGCCACAGAGAGCTGGGAGCTGAGGAAGTTGCTGTGTCACTGCTGGGCTATAAATGGCCTTGCACTGTCACCATGGTGACAGGGGATGGAATTAGGGCAACTCCAAGGCCTCCAAAATCTCCTAAAACTGGACTGGGGCTGTATCTGTACAGAGGGTGATGGCCCTTGTGGAAAGGAGTGACAGCCCTGGCTGGAAACTCCTGCCCTCAGAGCCTGTTTGTCTCGTCAGACACTTGTGCTTGTTTCCTCAGGTCGAGTTCCAGGAATTCATTGTCCAGCCCTGCCCTGAACAGGAATCAGAGCCCTGACCAGCTGGGGGGGCTCTAGGCCCAGGGCTGGGCCTGCCAGCTGGACTCCTGTTCCAGGAAAACCACACAGGTGTGAAATCACACCCAGACTGGGAGGTGGAGATTCCCCAGATCAGATATACTGTCCATTACCAGGATCCCCAGAGGAAGAAAACCCAACAAGTCCTTTCAAGAACACCCTTCTCTCCCCGAGATGTTCCCTGGCATCCTGAGCTTGCAACGGTGTCGTCACAATGGATTTTATAAAAGGATTTTATAAAAGGAACATGAAGGCACCAAATGAATGTTATCATACCTATTGATTGATATCTCTGTCCCTCCATCCATAGCCAGCATTCCCTGTGCTTTGCTCCCCTGTGCCAAGGGGCTGTGACTTGGAACAGCAGGGGCTGAGCCTGGGATCCCACCTGTCTCCTGCTCCACTGGCTCCTGGCCCTGCTTCCAGCTCTCTCTGTGTGACACCCCAGATGTGATGTGAAGCAGCAGGACTGCTCCTGTTGGGAAGTGCAATGAAAGATGCAGCATTCCAGCAGCTCCCAGGGGAAAGGGGATGATTATCCTGCAAGGACAGGCCTGTGCAGGCTGGGGCTGAGCTGGCACAGGGCCAGTTCCTCTTACTGCAGGGTGTGTGTGACCACTAGGGCCAGCCATGGGGCTCCTCCAGGAAAAGCCTTCATGTTATCATACCTATTGATTGATATCTCTGTCCCTCCATCCATAGCCAGCATTCCCTGTGCTTTGCTCCCCTGTGCCAAGGGGCTGTGACTTGGAACAGCAGGGGCTGAGCCTGGGATCCCACCTGTCTCCTGCTCCACTGGCTCCTGGCCCTGCTTCCAGCTCTCTCTGTGTGACACCCCAGATGTGATGTGAAGCAGCAGGACTGCTCCTGTTGGGAAGTGCAATGAAAGATGCAGCATTCCAGCAGCTCCCAGGGGAAAGGGGATGATTATCCTGCAAGGACAGGCCTGTGCAGGCTGGGGCTGAGCTGGCACAGGGCCAGTTCCTCTTACTGCAGGGTGTGTGTGACCACTGGGGCCAGCCATGGGGCTCCTCCAGGAAAAGCCTTCACAGCAGCCACAGGGAGATGCTCTGCTCCTCTCAGGAACAGCAGGAGAAGGTCCTGCTGCAGCTGGGAATGGAGGACCAAGCCGTGTCCCAGCCCCCACCTGCCCTCCATGCCTGGTTGGCCCAGAGAAGCAGCATCTCTGAGCACAGAGCAGGTAACAGCAGCCAGAGGAGGGGCCAGGCAGGGCAGGGACAGAGGGTTTGTGGTTGATGGGGGGGGAAAGGAGGTTGGTGCAATTCCAACTTGGCAAAGCAACATCCTCTTGTTAGGTGACCTGAGGGATTTCCTCAGTTTAAGTCTTCAGGGTCCCAAAAGACCCTGGAGTATTTCTCTTCTTTATCCCCTCTGGTTAACACAATCCCCACAACTCTTGATAAAACAACCAGATTCATGCTCAGGAGCTTGGTATTTAACTTTTTTTTTTTTTAATGATTATTCCTGCTTGTATTTAATGTACAGCAATAAAATCTGTCACTTCAGGGGACTGTCTCTCTTCTGTACAAGCTGTTCCTGAGGCTGCACATACCCCCTGCTCTGTGTGACACAGACCTGTGCTCAGCCACCCAGTTTGGAAAGTACTTGATCAGTGCAGGGGAACAAACACACCCAGGCAGGGGCAGCCAGTGCCCCTTTTTTCCTGCTGGCACAACTGTCCCAGCACATGCTGCTCTGGGAACTCAAACCTTGAACATCTTTTATTTTTCCCAGAAGGAAACACACCTGAAGTAACATTTATGTCTCAAACCCACCTTTGGTAGAACTGCATTTCACTTTTTCTGTAAATTGTGTTGTAAAATCTTTGTCCAACTAACACAAGAAGGGAACGTGTCTCAGTGTTCTGGAAAAGCAGTGACCAGTTCAAGGAGCAGCAGTAACCAGAGGAAGCAGTGGGTGCTCTTGTAAGGAACTGCAGAATAAAACCCCTTGTTGTACAAGAGTTCAGTCACTGTGCTCAGATTTAAGTCTGCAAATACTGCACGAGCAGGGCTAGAGCAAAGCTGCTGCCTGGATGGTGAGTGATGGGATTTTCCTTTCTGTTCCTGCCAGAGACCCCTGGAAGCCCAACACTGCCCTGCCCAGGGCCAGGAGCTGCCAGCAGGCTCAGCAGGGTGCTCAGGACACTGCCCTTCCTTCTTGGCTGCTTCCTGGGACCCAACAGGACCAAAACTGAGCAAAGTGACTTGTGAGACCATTAACCAGTGTGTGGGTGCCAGGGAACAGCAGCTGGGTCAGGGTCACTTACTGACAAGTGTGTACGTGGAGCAACTGTAGGATGTGACACTTGCAGCTGCAACTTCATTATATTCTGTACCAACCCTTGCACCCAATTCCAGGCTCCTGGGCAGTGTTTCCTTGTGTCTGTGGCTCAGTCTTCACACCCTGCTCAGCAGGAGTTGTGTGCAGGGCCAGGGGCTGTAGCTGGTGTATCTGAACCAAAACACAGGATATGAGGCACCACATGAACCCAGCCCAACAGCTGTGCCTGCAAGCAGGGCCAGAAACCATCCCTGAGCCACCAAACACCCGTGGGAGGCACCCAAGTGCTGCTTCACATTCAGTTTAATTAGAACAGTTCCACTGGTTTACTTGTACTCTGACATAATTTACTGACAGTGTTAACAACACAAGCAGTGAACGATGGTTTAAAAGGTCAGCTGGGTAGATGATTTTTGGCAACAGTCCTTCTGCTTCATTAAAAAACCCCCGGGGCTCAGTACACGTGGACCATCCCGTACAGGAACGTCCAGAACAGCACGTACGTGAAGAGCCCTCCCACCAGCCCCCCCGTGAACAGCGGCCGCCGGGATTTAAAGTACTTGTTCCACCGCCGCCCGGCCTTCAGCACCAGCAGCACGGAGAGCAGCACGGAGGCCAAGAAGTAGAAGACGAAGCCGTGCAGGCCGGTCAGGCCCAGGATCCCCGCCGTGGCGCCCGACAGCGCCGACACCGAGGTCCGGCAATAGTCCAGGATGGCGGCGTTTCCCCGCACGGCGGCCTCGCTGATGAACTGCGGCCCCTCGCGCTTGGCCAGCACCGCGGCCATGGCTGCTCCGCGCCCGGGGCGCTGCGGGGAACGAGACACGCGCTGTGGGGCCGGGCC